CAATAGGGAGGCGCAGAATATGTCATACAAATTACAATCTCTACAAACTCCAGCACAATGCAGATGAAATCTGAAAAATCAAAGATTAAATTATTTCTAATCAATGCTCTTTCATTCTTTCCCCTCTCATGATAAACCACCTTGTCCAACTCACAGAAAAGAGCCACACTAAGATAAATGAATAGTTACTTGCAAGTTCTCACTGTGTGGGGCAAATCCTGACCCCATCCTTGCAAGAAGGCAATGGAAAGCAAAGCACACCTATGCTTTATTGGAGTGGAGGACCAAGCTGCAGGGACTCCATGCAACAAGATTCCACAACCCCTCTACCCACCACAGAATGGAGTTCTGAAGTTGCATTTTGTTCTGCAACACAACCTCACTCCCCCATGCAGACTAACTCCACCTCTGCCACTGATGGGGTTTGATGAAATGAGGCCATGTCAGTTATTTCTCCCTGTGATGGGTTTGGTCACAGAGACCCCCTTGGGATTGTCACCTGACATGCTGAATTTACCTCTGAGCCCATTTTCCCTGCCAGCTTGGGACTCCAGAACCCTGCCTTGTTGAGCCAGACATGCTAGTCTGCTGCAATACAGACCCAGGTCTGGTCCACGCTCCCAAAGCTGCAGACTTTAACCAAAAACTGCTCAGCAGGTCACCTATCTCCAGCACCCAGACACCCAGTTCCCAAGAGAATCAAAACCCCAAATAAATCTGTTTTACTCTGTATAAAGCTTATACAGGGTAAACTCATAAACTGGCCACCCTCTATAACACTGATAGAAAGATATGCACAGCTGTTTGCTCCCCCAGGTATTAATCATTTACTCTGGGTTTATCAATAAACAAAAGTGATTTTATTAAGTATAAAAAGTAAGATTTAAGTGGTTCCAAGTAATAACAGATAGCACAAAGTAAGTTACCAAGGAAAATAAAACAAAACACGCAAGTCTAAGCCTAATACATTAAGAAACTGATTTCAGGTAAATCTGACCCTCAGAGATGTTCCAATAAGCTTCTTTCACAGACTAGACTCTGTCCTAGTCTGGGCCCAATCCTTTCCCCGGTACAGACCTTGTTAGTTCCAGCAGGCATCCTAGGTGAAAAGCAGGGACTTTCTCATGATTGGGACCCCTTTTGTTCTGTTCCACCCCCTCTTATATCTTTGGCACAAGGTGGGAATCTTTTGTGTCTCTCGGTTCCCACCCTTCCTTCTAAATGGAAAAGCACCAGGTTTAAGATGGATTCCAGTATCATGTGACATGGTTACATGTCACTGTAAGACTTCATTACTCACTGGCTGGCACACATGTATACAGAAAGGCTTATAAGTAAACAGAGCCATTTACAACCAATTGTCCTAGACAATGGGAGCCATCAAGATTCTAAACCACCATTAATGGCCCACACTTTGCATAATTACAATAGGACATCAGAGTTATACTTCGTATTCCTAGTTTTAGATACAAGAATTATACATTCATACAACTAGGATGAGCACACTCAGTAGATTATAACCTTTGTAATGATACCTTACAAGAGACCTTTTGCATAAAGCATATTCCAGTTACATCACATTCACACTTATAAGCATATTTTTATAAAACATATGGAGTGCAATGTCATACTCCCCATGCCATGTAGTAGGGGACAACAGCCCAACTGCCGAGGCAACATGAGCAGTGGAAAGTTAGAATTCTGTTCCTCAGGCCTGTAGGGTCCTTACATAGAGCAAAACCAGTTTAAATGGGCTTTGCTCCATGTAACAGAATTTGGCCATATCTCTATGGCTCACACCTAGAATTTTGGGTACATGCTTTAATGGGAATAAATGAATAATACAGAAGAAAACTGATATGTTTCACATTCAGTATGATGGCCTCTCTAAGAAATGTTCATTTAAAAGATGTTGGTCAAAGAATTGATCTTTGTCCCATGACCTTTGATTTACGCAATGAGATGCCTCTGATGCAATAAATGTTTTGCAATATTACATGCCCTGGACCAAATCACCAGCTGGTGCAAATTGACATAACTACATTGGCCTCAGTAGAGCTACACCAAATTACACCAGCTGAGGATGTGGGCCTCTGTGTCTGAAGCAGATATATTATGTAAACTGTAACAATTTCAGCAATTATTTGGTCATGTGAACAGGAGACATCTGCAGACCTGACAGGTTTGGTAGTGTCCCAGTTGTGCTGCAGCATAGGGTCTTCAGGTCTTGGCATGTCTTTATGAATCTTACTTCCTTGACTAGTAGAGCTCAGGTGTCATGAACATAATACATTTGAACTCAGTGGGACAGGGCAGGAAAAAAATTGATAGCAGCTTGCTATACAACTCCATAGTGTCAGTGCTGAAGGAGCCTTTCCCACATGGAAAATGAGTTGAACATTTGCAGTAGGAGAAAGGATAACTTATGGGGGAATTTTATGAGGCTACATCTAGACTGCACTCCACTGGTGGTGGCATATAGGATATGTGTAGCTACAGGCTATAATGAAAAGCAAGCTGCATACATACACTCTGTGGTGTGTAGCTATACATGGCAATGAAAGGCTGCAGCAAAGGGGAGGCAGCTGTGGTGGGGAAAGGCTCTGGCAATGATAAACTTCTGAAGCCTTCCTTCACTGTCTCCTCCATGCCTTTTCCTTGTTGCTAGAGCCTTTCCGTGTGATGGGAAAGATTCCAACAGTGGGGATGTAGCAGGTCCCTACACTGCTAAAAATAGCACTATATGTGGGGGAGACATTGCTTGAGCATGTAGAGAAGAGAGCTGTGTAGGGTACGTACCCACAGAGTTCAGGCATATCTACACTCTACTTGCCTAAGCAGTGCCTCACTGTCTCCACTGCTATTCATACACATGCTAAGGGGGTGTATATTATATATACTCTACATGCCACCATAAAGAGTGTACATTGTAGACATGCCTTTAGACTTCCATTGGCCTTCAGTTTAGGTCAGAAGTGAGATGGGCGTTCTCTCATTATCAGTCAGTTTCATACAAATTCACATAGAAAAGATGATTGACCATAGATAAAGTAGATGTGAAATGCTCCAGCTCAGAATTGCAGATGGTTTCACAACCAGAATGTAAAACACTTTCAACACCTAGGACTTCTGTGTGTTCTTTTATTGGGTTCATGTTTTGGAGATGGTTTCTCTTTCTTTTGTTTAGTTTGTTTTTCAGTCATCACTTTTTTGATTTCCTTCTTGTTCTTTATTTTTAAAAAGCCAATAACCCTTAATTATTTTTTGTAAATGGTATCTTTATACTGTCTGAATATATATATTTACCTGCAGAATTGGTTTGGGGTTTATTTGGTTTGGGTTTTATCTGTTAATGTCTGGTCCTATTGCCAAATATAACCAAGTTAGCACTCAGGAGGCTAACAGTCTGCATTAAATAAATTATTCTTGCACTATCTTCAAGGAGGTAGCTACATTAGACTTTAAATTATACTTTCTTCTTATGCCTCCTGTGACAAACTTCTCTCCCAGTGGCGTTAATCCAGCATCCATCCTTATAGTGCAGTTTGCAACCTGTAAGATGTGGTGTTATCCCACAGTGCTGCAAAGATTATTTATATTGGCCCTGTGTGATTAAAAAATCCTATTTGTCTCAGCTAATGAAAGCTAGCAGATCTACCCAGAATGCATCTGATCGTGTAACAAGATTTCCAGATGCACAAATTCAGTATATAATGATTGCCATACAAAAACATCATTTACTGTGGTGTGTGTGTGTGTGTGTATGGTTTGTACAAGGAAAAATACAGTAATACAAAACAAAGGCTTAATTATTTTTGTTTAATTCAGTATTCCTTAATCAAGTAACATTTCTAATGATTTTTGAGGATTTTTGTATAAAGATTGGAAGATCCAGGTCAAAACAGGAACAGAAGCATACAGTATAGCAAAAAAAAAATTAGTGCCAATGGGACTGTGAGTTACTGGGGGAAGAAAGGATGCATAGAAATAATGTAGTTTGTCTTCATTTTTTTTTCTCTCACACAAACTCCTTAAAGTGTTTTGGGGTAAAATGCACACAATGGGAACAGGACCAGTCCCATAGAAGCCAGTAACAAAACTCCAAGATCTAGTGCTATGTCATAACCTTTTCAAACATTAACTTCACAAGGTAATTATTGATTAACTGACTTTTCCCTATGAGGTCCTTTATAAAACTCTGTTGGCGTTTTTTAAGTTCATCTGCAAATCTCTCCTTTGAAAGCAAAGGAGCGACCGACTGGTTTTAGCCTCCCACCTCAATCACCCACAATTGCTCCGTATCAGCCTTTTGTTTTCTGATAGAGTTGCTCAGTAACTTATTTCCATTCTCGCCTCCTCAAGAACATAGGAGACTAGATTTGCCAGTTCGCTTTTGCCAGCCATCCTACTCTCTCTCACTCAGAGAGGAGGGCTGATCCTGCGTTTACTTACAGGGGTGTAAAGTAGGAACGTCCAACAAAGTCAGGCCACATCTCGTGTAACCGCCGAAAAAGAGAGCGAGCAGGGCTCCAGTCCTCTCTTGGCTTCCCTTCTAAGCGTTTCCCCGTAGTGGTTAGCTTACTCTGCCGCCTATTGATGAAACAGGGAGACTTGAGGCAGAGCTTTATTCCTGCCCTTCCCAGGTAGGGGGCTGCTGGCGGGCAGGGCTGCAAAGCTGCAGCCAGAGCTAAGGTGCGATCTTCTCTTTAGCAAATGCTAATGCAAGCGGCAGGCTCCAGCTGAGGGGAGAGATGCCCTGGCTGGGCAGGGGTGGGACAGCGGGAGCCAGGGCCTAGGGAGACTGGGGAGGGGAATTTCCCTAGCTTCCTCCCCGCCCCCTGGGCAGGTGAGCTCCCCGGCCAGCCCCTCACCTGGAACCCAGCAGGGCGAGGCGCCACCACGGCCGCCTCCTCCCCCTGCTCATCCCCGCCCCTCTCCCCGCCGGCCCGCCCCCTCGTGGGCGGGCGGATTCCCCAGAGGGAACCCCTGAGCACGGCTGGCTTGCTCGCTGCGTGCGGGGAAAGTTTTGCTGCGAGCGGAGGAGTTAGGAGGAGGGGGAGAGAGCGGAGCTGCCTCTTGCCTGAGCCGTCAGCTCCCTCAGCCCCGGGCGCGCAGCCACCGCCGGAGGAGGAGACCCGGGAGCAGCCGCCGGCTCCCGCCAGACCCCGGGCACTTTCTCTGCCACGCACGTGGGGTGGGAGCCGCTGCCAGCCGCCGGGGAGCGCGGAGCCCCTTAGTCCCAGCGCCGCCGCCGCCGCCTGGTGCCCGGGTAGCAGCTCAGCATGGTCTGCAGAGCCGCGGGGCGCGGACCCGGGGAGAGGAGCTGAGCGCCGCCGGAGGGACTAGGAAAGAGCCGCGCCGAGCCCCGGGGATTATTTCCCAGTCCGGGATGGGGGACTGCAGCCGCCGGCCCCGGGCAGCAGCCAGCGGGCGTCTCCGGGCCGGGAGAGCCGCTGTCCTGGTGCTGCTCCTCGCCTGCTTCTGCCTCAGCGCCGCAGTGGAGAAGAAGAAAGGTACCGATCGCGCCCCGGGGGGCTGGCCGCGCTGTGGGGGGCGGCTCGGGGGGAGAGGGAAGGAGCCCCGCTGCCTCCAGGGCTGGGGGGCGGGGAAGCTTTAAACTTTTCCTCCGGCTCCATAGCTGGAGTTCCGGGCGCCGGCCGGCGCTCCTCCAGCGCTGCGCTGTCAGGGCCAGGGGGGCAATGTCCCAACTCCTTGGCCGCGCTGTGACAGCTTCGCGGCGTGCCGCTTCCTGAGTCTGGGGCTTACTTTCTCGGGGGGGGGGGGAAGAAAAGCCTTGGCACGTCCTTCCCCCTCACCCAGTAATCACACCACACCCATCTCCTAGGCTGGCTGAAGACAAAACGTCCCAGATTTTATCGGCACCTCTGTTAGCTCCCACTCTCCCCTTTACTAACTAGGGGGCCACGTTCTGCCCTGGCTTGGTTCCGCACGTGGGGCTGCCGGGGCGTGACCCAGCAGCACCTGGCCCGATGGGTTTCCTAAGCAGCTTGGTCAAGCAATCCCTCCCGGCGTGTCAGCGTGCACATCTTGTCAATATACTTGGAAGTGTTTTAGTGCCTTTCGGAAGCATCGGTGGTGGGGTAATAAGCCACGAGGCAGGCTGCTGTGTCGGTTTCACAAGAGGTTAGGTTGCCCTACTAAGGGGTTACTGCCCCAGGCTTATTATCGTCTTCCTGTAACTAATACAATATGGGGGGAGCCACGAATGATTCACATGCATGCCTGAGCCAAATAACTCATGTTCCATGCAAGCCTAAGTTTTATAACAACTGCAGTGATGTTGGTCTCTTCGCTAGTCATTCTCACCTGCTCCTGATCGTTTCCTGGGCATTGTTTATCTGTCCGACAGAAATACACCAAGGAAAAGGCTCAATATGTGTCCATTCCCCCCACTCTTCTTAAAAACGGGAAGCACTTGTACGTGTGGTGCCCAGTCTAAACAAACTGGCAAGCTTTATGAATGAACTGCATGTCTCTTACTGTCAGCTGCGCTTGCTGTTTCTCTTCTTATCCCCTGCACTGATCTGTGCATATTGAAAACTGTGTAGACTAGTTTACTGCAAGATTTTAATACGTTAAGGAACCGGTTTCAGTGTTGGGAGAAAAACAGCTTCTGGCTGGTCAACCCCCCACTCCCCCCCCTTTTTTTTGTAAGTTTCAAGAGCAGACAGCCAAGTTCAGTTCCAGGGAAAATCGTCTTTATCTTGGAAATCCTCCAACAACAACAACACAATGCAGATTTTTGTTAAAAAAAAATCGCTTGAGAAAAGACCTGATAGTTGTAGAAAGTCTTTTAGAAGAGCTGAGCATAAGTGAGTTTGCATTTCGTGACTCTGGACAATAAAACCATCTTTGAAAAGGAGAAACACGCCTTTTAGAAAAGCTAATTACACAATCTTGAAATCAAGAGACACTCTGGTTCCAAGAAGCAAGTTCGTACCTGTTGTTGATGTAACGAGGGCAGGGTTTTGGGGGGAGTTGACTCCGTTTGCTGTGATTGTGCAGCTCAGATAAAATTGTTTTGAAACACAGACTGAGTTTAGGTGTAAGGGTAATACTAAAGGTTATAGTATTAAGAGGTAGCAATTGTTATTGTTTTATTGGTATTACTGTCCTGTCTAGGAGCCCTAGGTATGGACCAGGACCCCAATCTATTAAATAGCAGTAAAGACGTGATAACTGGTATGTTTTTTTCCACCGTATAATTGTTTGGCAGTAGCTTTTCACACCAGGAGAGTTAGACCTGTTGACAAAGATAAAACGCAGTATGCCATCTTCAAAATGCCAGTTGCCTGATAGTTCACTGTAATGTATGATCACTAAAGGTGAGCAGCAGAAGAGTGCTTTTTGGTGGCGTGTTTTACTGCGTCCATTGAATTAACTGGTAAAATTACCATTGAAGTGAATGATACAGGATGAATCCTCATTTGAGAATCATAAAATAGCAGTTCCAAATTTTAACGTTTCTTTCAAAGTAATGGGTGGATGATAGATCAGACCATCATCATGACTCCAGAACCTGCCTCATGGTTCAGGTACATGGGATCATCCTTTTGATACCACATATCCTGGGCCCAGACACGGGGGCTGGAACGAGGGATGCTGGGGGTGCAGCAGCACCCCCTGGCTTGAAGTAGTAATAACAACCAAATACACAGTTTTTGCTTTCAGCCGCCCCACTATAAAAACTGATACAGCACCCCTGCCCTGATTGTAAATCCAAATATATTGTAATGAATTTGTGCAGCAATAGAAACCGATGAAGTGCTACAGTAAACTAAAATGATGCATATGAGAAATTTTAAATTGGATGTACTTCTGAGCATTCAATTTTAAAAATTTCAACTGAATGTCACTTCTTTACTATACAAAGAGCTGATGCTAGTACAGTGCTCATTAGAGTGCCAAAAATGTACAACTTTAAGTTTTGGTTAAGGAGATGACTTCAACGTCAATTTTTTATAAAATTATATCTTTCTCCAAACTTTGAGAATTAAAAACAAATTTCAATACAGCTGAGAGACAACTGAATTTATTATTAATGTTGTTGATGTTTTAATAATAAAAAAGGAATCATGAACATTCCAAAACCAAACAAAACAGAATTATTGAAAATGTAAACACACCGAGATCAGAATCTGTCTCACACATGTTGGTTAACACAACAGTGAAGCTAACATGCATTTTCACCAATCCAGTCACAGTAATAGTTTTAATAGTAGTAATTTCCAGTAATAGTTGTGCCAGTTATTGTCTAGTGCACTTCATCAATAGCAAACTGAAGTGTAACTGGCAAATCAGTGGTAGCACTACAATTCAGATAACCTGCTTTCCACTGTATTCTGCATCAGGTTAGTTTTGATTTTCAGTGGTCAACCATTCATGTGAGCACAGTATTATACACTGGGAATGTGCAAGGCAAAATATTGGGCAACTCATTAACTACAGAGGTTCTCTTCGGTTTCCCATAGTGTCTGGTGTTTTGGATCTCTACTTTTCTTAAGGGTTTTTCATTTATTCATTTTAATATGAAATAAAAACACATGTCCAATACACTGCAACATTTGTACATCACTAAATGTATGTTAGTATGCATGTTTATGGTGTCTTTTAGATTATTCTGTAGACTGCACAGAACAAAATGTTTTACTCATGTTCAAATTTTGCTTTATACTGCTAAACCAATGGTAAAAGTTTCTTTTACAACTTTTGGGTCATATATTGTCATCTGTCTACCAGATACCAATGGGAATTGCATGTATGGGTCAAGGACATTATATGGTCCCAGATTTGAATCAGAGCCATATATTACGCTACATTCTAGCACAGAGTTCCCATTGACTTGCAATGGTAGTTTTGCATAAGAAAAGAAGGTGGAATGCCCTTTTAACATCTATGGGTTTGTCTACACACAAATACTTTTTGTAACAAATTAACTGTATTGGTTTAGAAACTGATATTGTTAAATTGGTGCAAACCCTGGTGTAGATGTGGTTATACCAGCATAAAAGTGTGTATATTAGTATAACTTATTTTGATAAAACAACATAAATTGTTCAAAAATTGTGTGTTGATCAGACCTTATTCTGGTACCTTATGTATGAAAAGCTTAATCCTACCTGTTTAAAAACAAACAAACAACAAAAATGTACCTCCATCCACTTAGGACCATATTTTACCCCCAGCCTTACTGCAAATATTTCATTACCTTCAAGGAATTTCTCATATGTAAGGAGGGAAACATATAGCAGTAAAGGTGCAGCCAAATGTATATCATATATAGCCCTTGGTTTTCATCCTCAATCTATGCTTCTGGCAAAAATGGTCAGATTAAAATCCTTGTGTGAGCAAAATTACTCTCAACAAAAGATTGGGTCTTAAATTAAGAATAACTATAGGAAATATATAGAAATGAATAAAATATATGCATAGCTGAGGGTAAAAAATGTGAATATATTATTTATTGCAACAACAGTGTATTAAGTGCTTTACATACAATAAAGAAAAAAAGGTACTTGCCCTTGAGACTAGTCTAAATCCATTGTAATCCATTTATTAATTTAGGGAGACAAACTCCTTCATGGAGTGTCAGACAATCTCATGACGTTTCTGAGGGCTGGCTCTTGCATTTGGGTATGTGCGTTTGCTGTAATCTTTGATAGACCAGTTTTAGGCAGCAGTATAAGTGACTGGTCCAACCAGTTTGTTCATAATGCTACAGTTCTTCCATGTTCCCTTTTAGATCAAACCTTACTTTGTTTTGTAACTCTTCAAGAACAAGCATAGTGAACGTACATGCCTGCCTTAACTCACTTTCATCAGATTGCCTGTATCTTGATGAATTGGTTTGGCATAGAAGTTGCTGATATTCCCAGTGGTGCTTGGGTTATTCCAAGTCTTGGTGATGCATGTGTGCATCAGGAGGTACGATCACCTTATATTAATGAATATTGTATTTAAGAAATGTACTAAGTTCACAAATATGCAAAATTAATAATCAGTATGTCATCTTACTTGCCTTTATATCATACACATAATGAATATTCCTGATTTACAATTACAGGAATTTCCCTCTAATTGCATTTTAGAAGGCGAGTTTCTACCCTGTAGAAATAGCCTCCTATCCAGAACAATCAAAATTTAGTCTCAGCTTTTTTGAGTTTCAACCTGCCAAGACTCTGGTAATGTTGGCATAATGTGAAAGCTATTAAAAAAGATGGCAAAGATCTTATTTGCTCCCATGCTGGAAAGAGTGTGCCAGCTTTTTGTTATGCAGATTTGCAATACAGCCATCATGTTAGATCTGCAGTTGCCTCTTGATACTTACATAGTCGCTATTGCCATGAATAGGATTTTGCTACAATTATTCATGCCTTTCTCATCTCAAAATTAGACCACAGTAATGTTTTCTATTTCAGGTTACTTCTAAAGACCATCCGGAAACTAAAGGTAGCGTGGAATCCAGTGTGTCTACCTCCTAAGCAGTGCTTCA